CCCCAAAACCCCAAAACCCCAAAACCCCAAAACCCCAAGAAGCAAATATTAGGCTATGAAAAAGTTAAGAAATATAACATTTAAAACATTAAAGTGATTAATTCTTGACAATAATAAAAAATACTTTGCATTTCATTGAGAGATATATTTGAAAATTAATTAAAAAATCAAAAGATAATGGCTAACTTCTACTCGCCATTAATTACATAAAGAACTAATGAGTAAAACACGGGAATATTGGATGATTAAACTTCTGCTGGCAGTAATTAAATAGGCTTCATGGATTGAAGAAGGTAAAAGCAATCTTCAACAAATCTATTGATAAAGAATTTGAAGAGTCCTTCTGTACGTTAATCATAAGATAAAGTTACAGCTGCTGGAATTAGTGAGAACTAGCCAAAGTCTCTCTAAAGTTAATAACTTATTAAGGGTTCCGATAATTCCCATAGCTAACCTCACTTAACTATAGACACTCAATCTACTATTCATTATTCTATGCTTAGGAGATCTGATCCAAAATTTGTCTCCTAATTTTAGATGTAGCAATAGAGACCTTAGACTTAATAATAATAAAGTACAGTACCATAGTCATCTAATTAGAATATTACACCAACAGCATAAAATGCTCCATATACCGGTGTTCCTATGCACAGCGAATTGCGAAAAAGATAAAGGGAAGAAAATTTTAACAAAATGAAGCATTAAGTAACTAAATTAGAAAATAATGGGGTAAGTCATTATGAGGATCAGTAAATTCAGAGAATTAAACTTAAAGCACTACGAGAATGAGAATAGCTTGCTAAATTAAGAGAAATGTAAAATAAAAGAGCTGCTGATATGAATCTCAATCACTTATCAGGATAGCATAGAAATTTAATATCTCCTAGAAATATTTCTTCAAGTCAGTAATTCTAGAGAACTTCTGGAGTTTAGAAAGATAATTTTTTAACATCTCGCTATGATCCCAATCATCCTTCATCGTCTATATTAAATATCTAGAGTAATCAAGGAGCTCCCTTATCATCTGCAAGAAATCTTAACAGTCATCACAAAATAAATCTTCTGAGTTAAGACTAAGATAATTCTTAAGACTAGCGCATGATGTAAATTCTGTAAAATTAAACAGCAAGAGAACCAAATTTGATGATAATAAACTTTAAGCAGTAGGTTATGAATAGAATAGATGATTTATAAAGGCGGATGAAAGAAGGCAACTATAATATTAATGAAAATTAATTAGAAACAGCCATTAGTGAGGTAATTGGATCTGAAGCAAATAACGGTAATTATAATTAAAATCATCATCATCCCATGAGTTCAACAACCAGAGGTAACAATGAGATTCTATCACCGACATTAATAAAAAATGCTAGCAATAAGAGCACGCTATCAAAACGTAGTAACTAAGATGAGGATGAAACAAATAAATCAGATTTTTCATCGATTGCTAGAACCTAAAATGAAAAGGGGCTTTAAGTTTAAACTTCGAAATTCAGAAAATCGAATTAAAAACCTTCCACATCTCACTCAAGCTGACAAAAAAATAAATAAGACAATTAAAATGCTTCAAGTTTCGAGGATGATAGTATATTACTCAAAAACCGATTTTAAGAGATGGTTACATCGCCTATTGCTATAAGTGGTCAAAACGGCATAAATGAAAGTCATCTTATAACACCAAATTAGCTGTGATTAAAATTGCAGGGATTAGAAATGGATTAGGAATTGATAAAAAAGCGATAGTAAGCTGAATAAAAGAGTAAAATCAATGACTACATCAACGACATGTTCGACATGGATTATCACTTCCTAAGGCAAGTGGGAAGGTGTTTAGATACTAAAAACAAGTAGAAACTTAAGAAACCTAAAGCAAAAATCACCAAAAAAACTAAAAAATAATCTCCACTTAAGTCTTTATTTTCTCAATCATTAGAGGAATTGCAAGCCTAATTATTTCCTAAAAATATGGATACTAACAGAAATCTGAGCCAAAATAGTAAAAATCCTAAGTCACTTGTTAGAAGATTTACAAATTCACCAAGTATATTGATTCATTCTTCAAGTTAGTAAAGTGTAATATAAGTTCAAACTAGCAATAATTATTAACCTACTCAATAAAATGAGCCACTTTCATCAAAAACTATTATTTAACATTCACACCCTCCGACAGCTGCCTAACTTCATTAGTAGGCAAGGCCATTCTCAGGCATCAGAAATAACTTATTTGATCCCTTGAAATTTTTTAATCAGAGGAAGATCAAGGCTTACCCATCTCTGAGTAGAGACTATAGCATGACACTCATTGAAAAAATAGGTTCGTATGGAGGGGAGCATAGGGAGCTTACTAGGTATGATTTAGTAAAGATGAAGTCATCAAGTCCATACTCCAAGTAAAGCATGCTCAAAGAATTTCGAAGTGGGAATTACAGAATAACTAACTCCGATAGCAACACCCTGAAAGAAGCACCATTAACGAACAATCAGCAGCAGACCATCAGCAGAGACTAAGAAATAGATGACTTTCTTTTTAACGATCAACAAAATCCAAATGATTAGAGTACTATTGTTAAGAATTACTTAACAGAAGAGTACAATCCAAGCAATAAGTCATTCCACACTCCTATGCTTAAGAAGAGGTAGATGGAGGAAGCATAGGGAGCACCATCAAGAATCTTCTCCATGAATACAAATTTTAAGTTTCAAAATACATAGGCATTTAAGAAAAGCTCTTTGAAGAATTCAAAATCTAACCCGAAATTGGCTGTTCAATAGCGCATAATTAAGGAGCATAAGCCACTTATAATTCTAAACTAGCAGCAATTAGAATAATATGAACGGGTCTTCTTAGAGGACTATTTCAGTAAAAAGTAAGTTCAGAAGCAACTTCTCCGCTCTATGACTCATTCGATACCTGATGAGGCTAATGTCAAGAAAATCGCGATAAATATAGACTTCTTGTGTGAAGACTAGTTCGTTAACGATAAGATTATGTATATAGTCTGGAAAAATTTTAACAATAAGCAGTACTTTGTGATAAGTGAACCTGAAATTTTGGACAGACTTGATCAGAATATTGATGATGAAAAGATATATGATAGCTTGCTGACCTTTAATCTAGATATCAAGTACTAAGTACACGACACTTGCATTGAAAAGAAATAGGAAGATCAGGAATTCAATGAAATGCTTATGAATATTGACAGTATGCAGGAACAATCCAACACATTTCTAGAGTTCGACTTGATTTAGTATGTTGTCCAGTAAGGTATGTTGGATGAGTCTCGGAGCTAGGATCAAGCTTACTTCAACGAACAAATTTTTAAGATACGAAGACCTTGTCACAGTGGGGTAATACAATATATAAATGCTGAGTATTTTTCCAAAAGATATGACTACCTCATCTAGTACCTTGCGAAGAGAAAAATATTCGACTTTAAAGATGCGTTATGGGTAAATGACAACAGAATATGTTTAGCAAGAGATAAATTCAAAAATCAAGACAATGAACAATATTGTCCAACAAAAGGATACTTATTTTAGAGAGCAGTAATTCCATCAAGTGAAATAATCAAGATCTTGTTTTAGCCTAACTACCAATTGAGCATATTTTACCTGTTGTTCAACCCAGATGAAGACTACGAGTTGCTGCTCACAATAGATAGGATCTTACAGGAGATGCAAAAAATTGATTTGAAAAATAAACCTGCTCTCTTGAGTTTAGCCTCTGATCATCCAAAGATCCTACTTCGAAAAAAGATGATGAGAGAGAGGCATAAGAGTCTAGGGTATGTGAGTAGCTATCGCTTGACTGGTCGCAACTTAATGATTTAGGACAGCATCAAGAGTGATACTAGTTTTCGTAGTAGTGTTACTCACAAGTTCAGTGATAACGACAATAGTGTCAGCTAATCTGATAACGAACAAAACAAGACCAAGGAGAGCATTGATGTAGACCTTATACCTATACTCAGAAAAAATGCAATGAGACGAAGCAGGAGAAAGCTGATAAATAAGCAGCCAGGTGGTGACTAAATCAAGCATAAAGTTTTCAAGGCCAGAATCGGCTCAAAGTCTGCTGCAAGTTAGACTAATTAATGGAGTCATGGCTACTATTTCAAAGCAAATAAAACATCAATGATGGCTATTGAGAATTTTGATTATACCAGCGAGGATGATGACGATGAGAGTGACTCTTCCAGTTCCTCGATCTCCTATATGACTGGCATGAATTATATTGCCATTCCCAAGAGACTCTCTAACATTTCTAAAAACTCAGAGTAAATATCCTTGTTTACTCCAATTAAAGGGCAGCAATATTTAGATGTTGGGAAGAGGGATTTTACTGTGTAGATTTAAGTAGGCAATTTAGGGTCGTAGAAATAAATGCCTTAAGTTAAAAAGAGCACTCGCCAGAAAAAGATGGAGAAGAGAGCAAGCAGACTACTGAAGAAAATGGGTTCAATGGACGGAATACTGATAGATAAATTTGGCTATGAAAGCGTTATCAGAGTTGATGATTCAAGGAAATTTCTATTTGAGGTTTTTCAGTCTGTGGAAATCAAGCAAGATGGCAGTTTAATAGATACTGAGCAACAAGTCAAAGATCACTCTGATGATCATTTAACAACAGACTCTTCACTTAGAGATCAAGGAGATGATAAATTCACTGATTTTGATACTAAAATTCAGAAGCAGCAACTCAGGAAGTTCTTCTAGTAGCAAAAGCTAAGATAAAAACTAAATCCAAGATTGATTGGAAAGCCTTAAATGCTTCCTAAAATGACTTCAAGTCATGAGCACATGCTAGTAAACTAAATGACAATAGCTTCAGGCAATACAGGTAACTCCAAAAACGGAAAGTCAAGTCTAGTTAACCTAACTCAACCTTATACAACGATTGGTAATTACTATAAGAATTTGACAAAGAAAAAGAAGGTTGATCGTAAGGAGAAAGATGTGGCTGGTGAAGTGATAAGTGCTGAGGAGTTCATTGAGGATGATGAGAATAACTTTTACCTTCAAATGAGAATTAACATCAAGATAATGGAGTTGCTGAATGAAGGTGGTGCTAACAAAGATAAGTAGACATCATTCTTGAAATCAATCAGAAAGATCCAAAAGTTAAAGAAAAATGAATTCAAGGAGGACTTTAAAAGAACTCAGAAGAAGATAATGTAGCAATAGAATTCAGTCAGTGATTCAGACTAGAAGGAGACTAAGAGTCTGTTCAGTAACTCTGACGAGGAGGAAAAGAAGTAGCATGAACTGAAAGAAAAAAAATAAAGGAAAAATTCATTCAGGTCCTTCAATTCCAAAAATGTTCACCTCCATAATATCAGTCAGTTTCATGCCTCAAATGGGAGTATTCATAGTAACACAATAAAGTTAAATCTGAGTAAGGTCAGCAATTTAAAGCGATAGTCATTAATCTCAATGAGAAAATGCTAAATACTTAGAAAAAGAAAGTTAAAAGATCCCAATGCTGAGTCTTTGAAGGTAAGATCTCAATCACACGTAATCATATATTCTATGCAGAAAAACTTGTATATGCGTGACTAAGCCTAACTCGAATAGTAAATCATTCAATGCGTAGTTCACTAAGACCTGACTAACTTTAAGCAAATGCTTCATAAATTCGATGAAAGCCTTGATACCTATAGAGATCCAGTTGGAAACACACTACTATCAATATCAACCTAGCTAGGCAATAAGATCTTTGTAGAACTGCTCCTGTAATCTGGCGCGGACCCTAACATTTAAAACGTAAGCATTACAAGCATTTTCATGACTTGTACTATAGGACTTGGGCAATGTACCCTTGCACTATTCAATATGCAATGGCTTCAATAAAATAACTGATCTACTGATGGAGTTCGGGGCAAATGAGAGGATCATTAACACCGATGGTAAAGCCCCTTGGGACAAGTTCAACTGACTAACTTAGCGGACATTCATTGTTGCTGACCACTACAATGATATTAATTATTAAAGTGTGCTTCTTGAAGGAGGTAGTCATTTTGGCTATGGCAATGCTGTCGATACTGTTCTTTCTTAACTACCACTGCTCCTTAGACCTACTTACATACGAATTGCTTGGTACTTAATCTAATAAGAGTAGAATCAAGATGTCTCAAATTATTATTGGATGATTATCTTGAAATTATTATAAATATATCTTAATTAGAATGCAAATTATTCATTTCGTCAATCATTTTTTATATTGAACTCGCGGGGTTTTGGGGTTTTGGGGTTTTGGGGTTTTGGGG